AGTACAGAACATGATGACTATTTTTCATCATTTAGTTATGTATGAAGTTATTGTTTCTTTAAAATCACAATGATTGTGATACGACACGTGACACAATTTTTCCAAAAGCCATCTCTCTCTCTCTCATCACATGCCAGGATTGCGCTCACAGACGGGCTTCATGGAGGTAAATCGGATTGAACCGCTTGATTGCCCAGACCGTCTGCGCCGCGTGTCACCTGCTCGACACTCCTGCTAAACCTGCCTTCAGGAGACCAGAATCCTGTCTCAGTCTCTAGATGTGAAAGAGCAGCCACAGACAGACATGAGAGAGAGAGAGAGAGAGACAGAAAAACTAAGAGTGAAGCGGACAGACGTGACAGTTGAAGCAGAGCCACTTATCAGCGGGACACACAAACAAAGCAACATGTTTCCTGTGAGAGGAGATGCGCCACGGCCGAGATTTCAGCCGAAAAACAACCACAGGAGCCGCAGATGAAGACAGGTGATCGAACAGCAGAGGAAAGGTCATTAAATCTCAGAAGACGGCGAAAATAAAAGAGCTTAACATGAAACTGTGTGCTGCAGAACACACACACTAACACAGCAAAAAACACTCTGTTATACATGTACAAATATCTAAATAAGAAAAATTAGATAAATATATTTAAATATGAAGATATTAGGCATTAGGCTAATAAAAAGCTGCATGCAATTTATCAGTATCCAAATAAACTGTGAAAACTGATTTTTTGAAGGTGTAAACAAGATAAGATTTACTTGAGAAAGTTTTAGAAAGAAAAATGTTTTAATTCATGTTTAATTCAACGTTGCAAATAATATAATGTTTCTTTGAAATTGTGAATTACAGCAATTCCTGAGTGAAAATACTTTCTACACCAAATTTTTTTAAATCATAAAATATCTGCTAAACAATACATTTGGGATAGTGCAAGTACACAATTCAGCAAAATATATAACACTGTTCTAGTGGTTTTTGGATATTTTAATAAAAAATCTTACATATTGTGCCTTTAAATTAATCATTTTTTATATATTTTTTATTTAATTTAATTTTTTTAATTAATTATTTTGAATTTTCATAACCATCTTAAGATGATACAGACCAATTATAATAGGGTGAATCTCATATGATTAATTTTCAAATAAATAAATAAATAAATAAAAATTAATTAGCAGAATTGAAAGCTTGATTTTAAGATTATAAAGATTTTTTGCATTATGACTTTTTGGTCACACGTTAGTTTGGGGACCAATTCTCACTATTAGCTAACTCACCTACAACTTTTGCCTCAAACTTCTAATTTGCTGCTTATTAATATTTAGTAAGGTAGTTGTTAAGCTTGGGTGTGGGGTTTAGGATTAAGGGATCTAGAATATGGTCATGCAGTATAAGGCATTAATATGTGCTTTAATAAACAGATAGTATGCTAGTAATATGCATGCTAATAAGTAACTAGTTAATAGTGAGAATTGGTCCCTAAACTAAAATGTTTTTATGACAATTAAGCCTGTAGTAAAAAATTTTAACCCAAATATAATACTAGAACAGAAAGATATTTATTTAATATATTTTAAAATATCTAAAAAGGAAAATAGGAAAAATGTGCATGAAAATAATGTCCCAATGTACAAAATTCTTTATGCAAAATATTATGATTCCCTATTTCTTCTCCTTTGATTTGGGGGTGAAATAAGCCCTGTGCATTTGTCTGTATGTGTTTCTGATCATGTGTTGTTCATCGCGTCTGTGTTCAGCCTGAGGATCTGCTCTGACACTAATAAACATGAATTAATGTGATGCTGTTGTCAAACACACACCTCTGTTCACCGGAGAATTAAAACAACGTCACAGATTGTTAGTGTGAATGTTTAACTCTAGTGAACAGGCCATATTTTTCAAACTTGTTGGTCGAGCGTCACCATCTGCTGTGGAGTGTGAGGTGTGTTTAGCACAGGTGGGCTCTGGGTCTCATGCAACACACACACACACACACACACACACACACACACACACACAGGTTTAAAATGCAACACTCAAGTTTTTTATCCAGCAAAGGGCCGCTCACTCGTTCTGACAGCAGGGGGTGCCAAGAGGCAAAACATGGTGCTGGAGCACCTGAAATCAAAGCAAAACTCTCCTAGAGGAAGATGCTGAAGATGAAGATGTTAAATAAAGCCAAACATGCAGTAATCAGTATCCATTTTTCACATCTAAATACAAATAGAGTGAACTCAAAATGTGTTTGGACACTTAAATCATGTTCAAATGTTCACGTTTCATTAAATGAAATCAAACACACACACACACACGCACACACGCGCACACACACACAACGCACATGTGAGCACACACCTTTCTCACCTTCCCCCAGACTTCATCTATCCATCGACAGGAGACAAGAACATAAAGACTCCATCATCTACATCATCATCATAATACAAAACACCTGACAGACAGAAAGACAAAGATAGATAGATAGATAGATAGATAGATAGATAGATTGATTCTGTAAGTTTTCTGTAAGGGCTAGGTTTAGGTGTAGGGCGATAGAAAATACAGTTTGTACCGTATAAAAACCATTATGACTATGGAGAGTCCCCGTAAACCACATACCAACATGTGTATGCGTGTGTGTGTGTGTGTTGGGGTGTAGAGGTTGTGTTCAGATGAAGGTGGGTGGTATCAGTGTGTGTCCCTGAGAAAGTCTCACGATAACCTTGTCCTAATTACATTCTGCAGTGCTGCTTTTGGCCCATTTCCACAGCTCCAAATATATTCTCTCACACTCTCTTACACACACTCACACACACACACACATTAACACATCAATAATACACAGTTACATGAGGACAGTCACGCCACTGCTGTCAGGTAATATAGCGGGACGCGAGTCCTAACCAGGTGTGACGCGACACGCATACAGCTACATCTGTAAAACATTCACGGCCAATCAGATCACATCTGATATTTCAAATACATTCACACATACAAGCGATAACAACACAAGCTGAAGTTAGAAAGCGAGGGACCAGTAACCTGTCCTGTTGTTTAAGACAAAAACTCATTAACACAAGAATATTATCACTAACCGCAGCGTGCCTGGTAAGAACACAGTGTCAGCGATGGTCAAATGTTCTATTAGCTCATTATCTCCTTCAAGTGAAGCGTTTCTTGCATGTGGACTAGAAAAAGTGTGCTGGTCTCCTAATAACAAGACAACTTGCTTTTGCTCTCTATATTCCTCTGCTGTCTGACATGAGATTGATCAAGTGTGACCAGCTCTCTGTAAAGAGGCTGAAAAAAACTTTTTTGTTTGGTCTCCAATTCTTCCTCCTTTAATGTTGGAACAAAATGTCAAAATCAGCATGAAATCCTTTAATTACAGCGTGTTTGCTGTGGGCATGTGCCATATCTCTGCATCTGCACCAGAGGGATTGTGTGTGTGTGTGTTTGCTATAAACTATTCATAATTTAAAATAGTTCAACTAAATATACTCCCTTGATAAAGTAGGTATATGACAAGCTACTAACAAAAAATATATACATTTATTTAGGGGGGCAATCTATATCAGATGAACAGATTAAAAACAAAAAAAAACAAAAGAAGAATATTTTTTCTGTCAGGTAGGGTGACAGCATTAACTATGTACAAATTATAAAATGAATAAAAATAAAAACATTCAATTAAGCAAAAGTTATAAACAACAGTATTTATGCATGTTAATATTAATGTTTTTCATTTTTTATCAGTATTTATTAATACAGTGTGCACACTAATATGTATTTTATTCATATTTTTATTTCAAATGGCTGCAAAAAATTAAGCTTTGCATCACATAAACAAATCACATTTAAACTATATTTAAATAATAAGCTGCTATTTTAAATTGTAATAATATTTCACAATATTACTGTTTTACCTACATTTTTTACTGTATTTAGGATCAAATAAATGCAGCCTTATTGAACATTAGAGACGTTCGGAAACATTAAAAAATCTTATTGTCCAAAATTTTGAAATGAAGTATATAGACATATATATTTGTCTTCATAATCTTTCAAAAATATTTTTTGACTCAAACAAAACCAGTTACTTTGTTACCACAAGTACATTTTTAGATTATTTATCGTCATATTTTTACATTCACAGTTTATATTAATATACATATATTTTATATTATTTAGAGCAACTGTTGTGAACACTATTGAGTGATGACTCTCTGTGGAATCAGTCAATGGTTTTTGAATCACTTCAGTGAAAGTGAATCATCTGAATGAACTGATTCACTAAAACCTGACTGTTTTCTAAGATAGTTAGCTAGTTATATTATAACTACTGTGTTATAGTATACCAGTAGTGATCAGTCACACAGCGTTTATGGCGTTTTAAGGTGACTGGCCCAAATAATGTTTCCATGATGCTGTCCCCAAAATCAAGTGCTCATAGTATTGATCATATCACAGGATGAACTGAATTACATCCTAATCAAACACATCTGAACCAGGCTTTCTCTAGGGGTGAATTAAGGATACTTGAGACACTTTTTTGCAATGAAATGACTGGGAAAAAGTATCCCAGTCATCCTGAATTAACCCGTATTTATATCAGACCTCTCTGGCTTCAGCAAAACATCCAAATCATCCATTTCAGTCAAACACTATTAGACAGAGTAATAAAGAGATGGGGAATATTTTAGGTGAATGTGCTCTACTAAATACAATATGCCAAAAAATGGATGCAAAGTTTTGTCATTTGTTGGAAGACACAGCTTGTTACTGGAAAAGCCAAAGTACGTATATGAAAACAACTGACCTACTGTCAGGGTAAAATGTGGTTACTTTTAATTAGTTAGTGCACAACAACGTGCATAAAAAGGTTAATTTAAGGCTTTTTACAAACCAGAGTTACAAAAAATAAATAAATAAACTGAGCAAAAAGCTCATTTATTTCTCAAGTGCTTAATGATATAACACGATACAAGGTCAAGCAATTATTTAATTGAGATAATAACGAGCTCTTTCAAAGAGGCCATGTTTGCATAATGTGCTCACTGTGAAAATTAATAAGCAGCATATGAATTTTAAAGTCCAAATTTACAATTTTAATGCAAACGTGTGCTGTGGAGCGTACAACATCAGCCGAGGACTCGACAGTCAGTTGAATGCAAAGGACAGAAGATGCTGATTAGCAAAATCTTTTTATCTAAAGCAAATTAAAGTTCACTCATAACGATGGTGATGGTATCAGACGATAATACTATGGTATTTTGATATGAAATGATGACATTTTTAGTTCAAAATCAAGAACTAAAAAGAACTAAAAAAAGTAACTAAAAATTAAAATGAAATATTTATTGATATTAATTCATTGAAAATATTAATAATGCCATTTTTAGTTCAAAATCAAGAACCGCATGGCATTACCATCATGGTTGTTAACCAAAATATATATATATATTAATTTTTATATATATTTTTATATAAAATATATATATATATATAAATCTTATTTATATTTTATATTTGATCTTATATTTATATTTTTATTTCAGCTGTGCCTGTAACACCCCTGTGGACTGTTTGTTGTGGTTTCTTCCCTTTGTGTTGGTTTAGCCCATACTAATCATTAATTACCCTCATTGTGCTCAACTGTCTGCCACTAATTATCCACCATATATTAGTTCCTGTCTGTCAGAGCTTTAGTGTCGGTTATTGTTAATGTTACCCCGAGTGTGTGTCTCACCTACCTGAACCTGCCTTGTTGTGTCTACAATAAATGTCATTATTGGAATCCTTGTCATCCTCGTCGTCCTGCCTGCCTCCACACACACGTTTCCGTGACAGTGCCAAAGTATCTTTTCTCATTTTCTTTTGGAGTAACTTAAAATACTACAATAGCTAAAATCAAAATCAAATATATATAAAAAATTTGTATATAAAAATATGCATAAAACTAAAACTACATAGACACATAAAAAAAATAAAAAAATAAATTAAAAAAACATGAAACAAAATTACAAAAAAGTAACTAAAAATTCAAATGCAAACTGAAAATATAAAAATAAAAATGAACAGGACATTGGAAAAATTAATTAAAAACTATAATAATGTATCAGTGATATTAAAATAATATTTGTAAGGTGTGGTGAGTTACTAAAAACATACTTACATTTGTAGGTCATCCTAATTCTTTGCGCCAAAACCAGACGGTGAAATTTCCTGTTGAAACAAAGAGTTATTAGCATATATGCAAAACAAATATAGATCATATTCATGAGATGACTGAAGTGACTGAATTGTTCGTCCTGAAAGACATGTTTCTAAAAACAGCAGTGTTGCTGTCATGGGACGGTTGGATGTATTGTGGATGTGTAACAGGAACACAGAAATCACTCTCATCAGTCTTTACCTGTTTATCTTTGAGCTCACCTTCATGCATATTTACTGCAACATCAACTTTCATGACCTGACACGCCACATCTGAGTAATATTCACATGTCTGTGTGCTAAAGATTAGTCTCCAAAACCATCCATATTAATGGGATTATAGTACAAAACAATATTAATAAACATGAAAAACACATACTCTCATCGCAGTGAACCACTGCTTCACAACAACGGCTGAGAAATCTACTACATGAGCGACAAAAAATGACCTTTATATACTTTCTGTAAACACTTTTGTGGTTCACATTTAAAAGTTCAAAAGTTTGGAGTCTTTTATTCATCAAGGATGCATTAAATTGATCAAAAGTGCCAGAAAAGACGTTTATAATGTTACAAACGATTTATATTTCGAATAAATGCTGTTCTTTTGAACTTTCTGTTCATCAAAGAATCCTGAAATATAAAATGTATCTCGGTTTCCACAAAAATATTTTCAGCAGCACAACTGTTTTCAACATTGATAATAATCAGAAATGTTTGTTGAGCAGCAAATCAGCATATTAGAATGATTTCTGAAGATCATGTGACACTGAAGACTGGAGTAATGATGCTGAAAATTCAGCTTTGAACACAGGAATAAATTACATTTGACAAAATATTACAATAGAAAATGGTTATTTTAAATTGTAATAATATTTCACAATATTACTGTTTTTATTGTATGTTTGATCACATAAATGCAGCCTTGGTGAGCAGAAGAGACTTCTTTCAAAAACATTAAAAATTTTACAGATTCCAAACTTTTGAACAACCCAGACAAACACAACTAACACAACAAATATAACACATGCACAGAAAGAAATGATTGCTTACAATTGCCTTCTTGTGATATTTGTGAGTGTGTGTTTGTGTGTGTGTGTGTGTGTGTGTGTGTGTGTGTGTGTTTGTTTGCAGCCAGTCTTACTACATTCCTAATTAATCCAATCAATCTTCTCACAGACTTAATTGTGTCACGGATGCAAAAATGATTACAGGGTCAATGTGATGATAAGACAATCTCAGGCAAGACAACACACACACACACACACACACACACACAAACACGCACGCAGCTTCTAGCTTGCGTTAATTGCTGTGTTGTTTTTTTCTTCTTCTATTTTTATTCTCTCATTCGCTTTGCCGATTCTTTAGTCTGCTTCAATGAGTGTAGAACAAGCAGGGTTGGAAAGTTCTTTGTCATTTCTATGAATTCAAATTTCTTCAGTCTTCCTGGACCCCAAAAATTACACTAAAAACAGTTTGGTGTAGGATTTACTTGTAAATTTCACAAATAATTACAAAGAAACGGCAAGTAACACACTGAATTAAACGTGAAATAGAAATGCTGAAATGATAAAACATACTCTAATAATCTGTTTTATTTACAACTTCGATTTTTTTTTTTACAGTGTACCACTTCTCAAAGGAAATGCTCTTGTACTAAAGGAAAAACCTTTGAATTATTAAAATAAAACATCATTTACATTTTAACGCACCACGTTCCCCATTGAGGATGTCTCCTGAAGGAGTTCATGTTTTCAGATTTAAGTTTCTATACAGTTGAGCTCAAAATGTGCTCACAAAACCCTTGAAATGTCCTGCTGTGTGCTGTGTGCAGCATGATGGATGATCTCATGTTCACATTACAGAAGGACACGTCTGAACATGAAGCCCTGTGGAGAACATCACAGCCTCCGCTCTGACATTTTAAGGCCATGCTCTATGAAGGCAGCAAGAAAAAATACGATCTACTACATTTTAATATTATAGAATATTTCATATTTATTTTTTGCATTAAAGTTCTATGCAATCATCAAGCGCTCTGGTATCTTCCATGAACGGCCACAGAAAAGCATCACACATCATTCGCATGCAGTGTAGTAGTGCGTCTGAATATTTCATGACAGTTGTCACGTCCTGTTAAAATGCTTGAGGGTTCATCTAAGTCTTGATTTATTAAAGCAGAACCGCAATGTCTCGTTTGTTTGAAAGCGGCCAGATACTGAGCCTCTTAAAAACCAATTGGGCTTCGGCTGCATTCAGCGACTCACTTCTTTCTACATGTATTACTCGGCTCCGTCAGGATACAGCGCTTTATTGAACTTGAAATAAACTGCAAACAATCCACGTCTTCAGGCTTTAGATGTTTAATGAGGCAGTTCAGAGCGCCTCTAATTGGTGTTTGGTGAGTTTTTTTGAGATAGCACTTTAATTTCTTTCTTTGAGCAGAATAAATGTAGTATACTGTGTCTTCTACAGTGTTGAGTAAGTTTCTCAAAAAAATTAATCCACTACAAATGACTACTTCAAAATTGCAATTTGATTACATTGCTGATTACTGCATTTAAAAAGTGATCAGATTACTAATTACTTTACTTTCAAGTTTACATTACTTTTCAAGTTTTCAAACCTAAAAAATATACTACAAAGTCAAACTCATGGTTCTTTCAGTAATCTAATATTGACTGAAAAATCACATAAATATCAAAACAGCAACTTGAACGATCACTTGCATCTTCTCCTGATAACAGAGAAAAGAACTTAAAATGTTCCATAATTTTTGATTATACAGATAAGAGAAATGCATCATTTGAAACTGTAAAGGGTTTGTGCTTTTGTAAAATAAAGAAAACAAACAGGATGTGCTTTCTGCCGTCTCGGTCTCTGTGAACTTCTTTCTGAAACATAAACTTGTACGCATTTTACTATTTGGACTTTTCCCAAATTATAATGCCAGACTAAAATATGTGAAATCGAATGCAACATTTTGAAATATGTTAGGCAACCTTTCATTTAAATGTTGTACGACTCGTCTGCATTTTAGCTCACATTCTCCGGTGATTCATTAAAAGGCATACTGACGCGCAAAACATGATTTTAAAATGCATTTACTTCATAGTTTTTCTTAACACTGCATAACTTAAGTAACAATTTTATTGACATTAGTAACTGTAATCAAATTAAATCAATTAAAAATGCAACGCGTTACACAGCATTGTAATGCGTTACATTTTATATTTATTTAATTTGATTACAGTTACCCAACTCTGATCTTCTAACAGTAATTTCGAACATTTTGTGCTCATCACCAACTTTGATCAATCAGAAAGTGGATTTCTTTTCAAAATGTTTGCAAAAGTGACCCACAACATCTCCGGCTCCTGAATTCATGCCATGAAAACACTTCTCCTCCTGACCTCCTCCCACACCTGTCCTGAATCTGTGCTCAGCTTAAAAGAGTTGAGCTAGTTTGAACTTTGACCCCCGCTGATGTCAGATATGGCCAAATTAAACTGCTCTGCAGGGAATAAAACCACCTTTTTTGTTTTCATTTGTTCTTATTGCATGGAACTGTAAGCAAATCACCATCTCTGAGCATTTTGGTTTAACTAGTCCTATTAAATCAGCCGGAAGGGTTTGCGCTCCACGCTTGGGTTCTTTCATACACTTCAGACCTACATTGAGCCACTATATGTTTGCGATTAGAAAAGGGAAGCTCCAGTCAGCATTTACACTGATAATTCATCCAAAGATTAATATTTACTCCCCCATGTTATTCCACATCCGTATGACTTACATAGTTTGACAAATGTGTGTGTGTGTGTGTGTGTTTTGTCCATACAATTAAAGTAAACTAGGTCCAGTGTTGTTTTGAACCTCACTGACCTTCAATTATATGGACAAAAAACACTTAAAAAGTATCTTCCAAGTTTTCCAGTACAAATACCTAAACATTCTTAAATCAAGATACATTTGTTAGGGATGCAAAATATTAAGTTCTATTTTTTTGAAATATTAATCAAAATTAAGTGAGCTTAAGCATAAAACAAGAAAAAAAATCTACCAAAGGGGAAAGAAAAAGAAAATAAATTCAAAGGGAAAACAAATGTATTTTTCTTATCCCAATGGCAGTTATTTTTTCTTGTTTTAAGCATAACTCACTTCATTTTGATAATTTTTTTTTGCATTGATTCATCTGTGTCCTGCAGGAAAAAAAGAAAATCACACAGGTTTGGAAAGACATGGGGGTGAGTAAATTATGACAATTTTGAATTGCAAGAATTTTGGAAAATGTCATTGTTGTGTGGCATCCAACCTTTTTCTCTAATCACATTCAATCAAACATGCAAACTCTGCAGCTTCAGTAGCAGTACAGGAAACACCAACAGATTATTTGAGAATAATGTTCATTTGGAATCAATGCAGACACTCAAGAACCATTAAAATAACTAAATATCATGAAAATCTAGTATTTTTTATGGAACATTTTTTTTAACAAGAACCAGTTCTCGATTCCATCCCTGTGGTTAAAAGATCAAACCAGTGTCACCTCCAGGTGCAAAAACTCCTGCATGATCCTAAATGATCAACTGGCCTCCATTAAGCACAACCGCCCTGCTGCAGGCTCTTCATGACCTATGATATATTGAGAAACAGACCCTCTTCTGTCTTGTGTCCTGGTTAAGGCTCTAGTTATATTATGTCTAAATCACAAAGCTGCAGCCCGACTCACATTTACCCTCCAGAATCTCTTTGTTCTGGTCTCTGGTGCCTGTAGAGATATCAGTCGAGTCATTCCTGGCCTGCGGTGCATTAACAATCCTGATACCTACAGGACAAGATCAAATAATACAACCCTGCCTGGCTGTCTTATTTCATCTCTCTCACCCCACAGCTCAAATATCCTGATTAAGGAACGCTAACTTCTACACAGATTCATCAGCTTGCATGCTGGTATATTATTGTGGTATCACTGGGTTTTGATTGATGCGTAAGTTTAGGGTTGGTAAAAT